AGGTAATGAAGCCAGTTGTATAGTGAGAATACCGAATAGCACACAGGTAATGAAGCCAGTTGTATAGTGAGAATACCACAGGTAATAGCACACAGGTAATGAAGCCAGTTGTATAGTGAGAATACCAAATAGCACACAGGTAATGAAGCCAGTTGTATAGTGAGAATACCGAATAGCACACAGGTAATGAAGCCAGTTGTATAGTGAGAATACCGAATAGCACACAGGTAATGAAGCCAGTTGTACAGTGAGAATACCGAATAGCACACAGGTAATGAAGCCAGTTGTACAGTGAGAATACCGAATAGCACACAGGTAATGAACCAGTTGTACAGTGAGAATACCGAATAGCACACGGTAATGAAGCCAGTTGTATAGTGAGTGAGAATGAAGCCAGTTGTACAGTGAGAATACCGAATAGCAGGTAATGAAGCCAGTTGTACAGTGAGAATACCGAATAGCACACAGGTAATGAAGCCAGTTGTACAGTGAGAATACCGAATAGCACACAGGTAATGAAGCCAGTTGTACAGTGAGAATACCGAATAGCACACAGGTAATGAAGCCAGTTGTACAGTGAGAATACCGAATAGCACACAGGTAATGAAGCCAGTTGTACAGTGAGAAGAAATAGCACACCGTAATGAGCCAGTTGTATAGTGAGAATACCGAATAGCAATGAAGCCAGTTGTACAGTGAGAATACCAAATAGCACATGAAGCCAGTTGTACAGTGAGGTAATGCACACAAGCCAGTTGTACAGTGAGAATACCGAATAGCACACAGGTAATGAAGCCAGTTGTACAGTGAGAATACCAAATAGCACACAGGTAATGAAGCCAGTTGTACAGTGAGAATACCGAATAGCACACAGGTAATGAAGCCAGTTGTACAGTGAGAATACCGAATAGCACACAGGTAATGAAGCCAGTTGTACAGTGAGAATACCGAATAGCACACAGGTAATGAAGCCAGTTGTATAGTGAGAATACCGAATAGCACACAGGTAATGAAGCCAGTTGTACAGTGAGAATACCAAATAGCACACAGGTAATGAAGCCAGTTAGTGAGAATACCGAATAGCAGAAGGTACCGAAGCCAGTTGTACAGTGAGAGGTAATAGCACAAGTAATGAAGCCAGTTGTACAGTGAGAATACCAAATAGCACACAGGTAATGAAGCCAGTTGTACAGTGAGAATACCAAATAGCACACAGGTAATGAAGCCAGTTGTACAGTGAGAATACCAAATAGCACACAGGTAATGAAGCCAGTTGTACAGTGAGAGAATAGCACACAGGTAATGAAGCCAGTTGTACACAGGTAATGAATAGCACACAGTTGTAAGCCAGTTGTACAGTGAGAATACCGAATAGCACACAGGTAATGAAGCCAGTTGTACAGTGAGAATACCAAATAGCACACAGGTAATGAAGCCAGTTGTACAGTGAGAATACCAAATAGCACACAGGTAATGAAGCCAGTTGTACAGTGAGAATACCAAATAGCACACAGGTAATGAAGCCAGTTGTACAGTGAGAGAATACCGAATAGCACACAGGTAATGAAGCCAGTTGTACAGTGAGAATACCAAATAGCACACAGGTAATGAAGCCAGTTGTACAGTGAGAATACCAAAATAGCACACAGGTAATGAAGCCAGTTGTAGCCAGTTGAGAATACCCAAATAGCACACAGGTAATGAAGCCAGTTGTACAGTGAGAATACCAAATAGCACACAGGTAATGAAGCCAGTTGTATAGTGAGAATACCAAATAGCACACAGGTAATGAAGCCAGTTGTACAGTGAGAATACCAAATAGCACACAGGTAATGAAGCCAGTTGTATAGTGAGAATACCGAATAGCACAGGTAATGAAGCCAGTTGTACAGTGAGAATACCAAATAGCACACAGGTAATGAAGCCAGTTGTATAGTGAGAATACCAAATAGCACACAGGTAATGAAGCCAGTTGTACAGTGAGAATACCAAATAGCACACAGGTAATGAAGCCAGTTGTACAGTGAGAATACCAAATAGCACACAGGATGAAGCCAGTTGTATAGTGAGAATACCAAATAGCACACAGGTAATGAAGCCAGTTGTACAGTGAGAATACCGAATAGCACACAGGTAATGAAGCCAGTTGTACAGTGAGAATACCAAATAATAGCACACAGGTAATGAAGCCAGTTGTATAGTGAGAATACCAAATAGCACACAGGTAATGAAGCCAGTTGTACAGAATGAGAATACCAGTGAGAATACCAGCACACAGGTAATGAAGCCAGTTGTATAGGAGAGAATACAGTGAGAATAGCAGCACACAGGTAATGAAGCCAGTTGTGTAGTGAGAATACCGAATAGCACACAAGTAATGAAGTCACTTGCACAGTGAGAATACCAAATAGCATACATGTGATGAAGCCAGTTGTATATAGTGAGAATACCGAATAGCACACAGGTAATGAAGCCAGTTGTACAGTGAGAATACCGAATAGCACACAGGTAATGAAGCCAGTTGTACAGTGAGAATACCGAATAGCACACAGGTAATGAAGCCAGTTGTACAGTGAGAATACCGAATAGCACACAGGTAATGAAGCCAGTTGTACAGTGAGAATACCGAATAGCACACAGGTTATGAAGCCAGTTGTACAGAGAGAATACCGAATAGCACACAGGTGATGAAGCCAGTTGTACAGTGAGAATACCGAATAGCACACAGGTAATGAAGCCAGTTGTTCAGTGAGAATACCGAATAGCACACCGGTAATGAATCCAGTTGTATACTGAGAATACCAAATAGCACACCGGTAATGAAGCCAGTTGTGCAGTGAGAATACCAAATAGCACACACGTAATGAAGCCAGTTGTATAGAGAGAATACCAAATAGCATATATGTGATGAAGTCCGTTGTACAGTGAGAATACCGAATAGCACACAAGTAATGAAGTCACTTGCAAAGAGAGAATACCAAATAGCATACATGTGATGAAGCCAGTTGTATATAGTGAGAATTATAAATAGCACACAGGTAATGAAGTCAGATATACATATATAGCAGTCATGCTTGTACATTAGCGTGGAGACCCGTGAAGATCCGGGTTAGACTGTACCTTCAGTAACCCATACTTGTCGTAAGAGACGACTGACGGGATCGGGTGGTCAGGCTCGCTGACTTGGTTCACACATGTCATCGGTTCCCAATTGCGCAGATCGATGCTCATGCTGTTTACCACTGGATTGTCTGGTCCAGACTCGATTATTTACAGACCGCCGCCATATAGCTGGAATATTGCTGAGTGCGGCGTAAAACTAAACTCACTCCCTCATTAGCATTGAACTCGAAGAAGTCATGGTAGGACAACTCATTTTTGGAACTCATCGTGTCTGTGTTGGTGCCTTCTGTTCTTTACTGTGGATATGTTATTGGCATGCAAGCGTACATTGAGAATTATTTTTCTCTTCGGCCGGATTTGAGGGATAGTGGGAAAAGGTCTACCCGTTCTGTGTGGATCCAAATGACGGATCCAAACATGTTTTCCACTTTGGTGGTAGTGTCGCGTTTGTCCCACTAGGCTGTGGGCAGTATAATTCAGTGGTGCGAAACATGGTGACCCCGTTCCCAGGCCATACATTCGGCACCATTATGCACGGCCGGGTGCACACGATACGCGGGACGTGCATGTCCCTACGTTAGCCCGGGGTACTGTCAGTTTGCCCGCACCTTTGTCAAGCAAAGCCCCTTCCCCACACCCTCAGCACTCTTTACACGCCTTACAGAGAGAAACAAATAGTTTATTTATTTTTAGAAGAAAAAACCCAAAACATGCTGATCTTGGCTGAGTCGTCTTACATTGTTACGTCATGGCCAAACTAACAAAGTCCATGGTATACCAATCTATCATAATCTCCTAATATGCGATACAGTTAATCATTTACAAGAGCTATATGGGCCAAAGGACATTGCTTGGATAACAGCACTGAGATAAAAATAGCTGATTACACATCAGTCTATTTAGACACAGCCTTCTGGTGGGACATCTGCAGGGATTGTTAATTGGTTAGTCTCTGAGACCATTTAATAGACTCTGCTGAAACACATGAACGCTTTCCAGTTAACAACTTAATGCTGCTAAACCTGTTCTTAACGCACTGTTAGCTAACTGTAACACGTGGTATACACAGACTGATATCTCTCTGTAGACTGAAGTAAAATACTTCGGGAAGATTTCTTTGAAAACAATGAATGGGAAGGGTGTGGCATAATGAGGTGCATGCGCGAGACAAAGTGCAACCAGTAATGTGCACTACTCCCCAATTTTCAAATGTACGTACGTGCTTGGAGATCCGGGTACGAATTGGTCTTCAGCAACCCATGCTTGTCGTAAAAGGCGACTAACAGGATCGGTTGATGAGGCTCACTAACTTTGACCCACAAGGGCGTATATAGCTACCGGTATAAAAAAAACCTGGGCTTACTTATGAGTGTTGCTAAAAAGGCCGGGCAAGCCCTCAATAATTTCTAAATATAAAGCTTTCGAACGTATCGGGCTTACACGAAAAAAGTGGCTTGCTACACGCCTGACACATGTCATCGTATCCCAACTGTATAGATCAATGTTCATGCTATTGATCACAGACCGCCGCCATATAGATGGAATATTGCTGAGTGCGGCGTTAAACAACAAGCAAACAATAAATGCGGTCATGGGGAGTACTGCACTTTACAGGGCGCACTTTCTCAGATTAATTAGCGCTGCTGGGGTTCCCTAACCCTAAGGATCGTAAAGGGTGGCATACCCTAACCTTGCACTATACCAGGAATACGAGTTTATTCATATGAACTAACCCTAACCCTAAGGATCGTAAAGGGAGCAGCAAGGGCTGCGCCCGGTAAAGCGCATTCTAGGAGTACTGCACTTTACCCTGTGACGCACACGCGCCATTGACTGGTGTAAACAATATATATTGTGGCAGTCGGAGTATAAATCGAGCGCCTCTCACATGACCACATTTAAACTTGCGCGGAACACAGGCGAACGTCACCGCGGATGCTGGTTGTATTTTCGTATCGGGAACAGTTTCATTGTACACCGGTAAAGATGGCGGCGATGATTCGAGCAGCAGAAAATGTGCTTTGGAGTGAAACATTTTGGTTCGCTAACGGGACATCATGGAGAGATTTGGAAAGCACAGACCCAGATATATACTACCCAAAGTTCTCCGATATGAACATATCTTTTTTTGTTGGGTTCTTGCTGCTGGGAATGCGATATATTTACGAGAGGTACGTAACCAAGGCAGCTTCCCCAAACTGTCGGCCCGTCTCATCCATTTCCCTATCCCGATCAAGCCGACTCATCTTTCCGTGTAGAATTAGACCACTGATTCATCTGACGTTTAGTTTTCTGACCAAAGAGATAAAACTGTTGGGTTCAGTTTTCATTGGAACAATTTCCACGGCCCTTGAAGTTCATTTGTCCATTTAAACATTATAGTGAAAAAGACGTTTTTTTAGTTTTGGGTGGAGCACATGACGAGTAACCAATATTGATATATTCATGGATATTTATGTTAAACCTTTTCAATATTTTTCTTGACACAGGTGTCTTCTCAGTAATGTGGTTTGAGGGTGGAATTAAGCTAGTGTATATATAAATATATGGATCTCAATGACATGACACTGGAAATAACAGACCTATCTTTTGGTTTTTGTGTTGTGTTGTTTTGGTAAACTTTGCACATCAAACACATTCTGTTTTATCCTTTGATCACAAATGTACATTATGAAAAAGAATTTATTTTGTGCATTTGTAGATTCCATAAAAGAATTGGACAGAATATAGTGATCAGGTCTGCAGCAAAAAATATTACACTTTATGTATCAGGCAAACGATGTCAGTGACATCAGATTATTAAATCATGTATCATTTGTAAAGGAAATGCTACAAACTTCTGCCCATGTAAATCAGTTGCAAGGCAAGGAATAACTTGTGCCTCTACTTTTGTTTGCACTTTTCCTTAATCATGTTAATGAGATTAAAACATCACTCATGGAGGACTCTTGTAAAGGTGTTACTACCGAATGAATTTCATGAGTGATAAGAAAATGTCATAAGTATGTTTGAATTATTTTGAATAGAATAGAATAATACTTTAATGCCTTTTCAGGAATTTGTGTTACATCAGCAGAGCTACTGACACATTTGAGAGATACCAAACATATTTACATAAATTCTTTGATTTAGGTATCTTCACATTTGTTTAAGAGAGATATGGTACTTGGAATAAATAAAGAATCTCACCCAAGTGTCTACTGATATCAGTTATATCAACACGAGTTGATAAAGTTACAAATATCCGAGGCTTGCCGAGGATATTTTTACCTTTATCGTTTATCAACGAGTGCTGATATAATTGATATCAGTAGACACGAGGGTTAGATTCTATTTATCATCAAAAATCATTCTTCATTAGTTTTCAATGAAAAATGTACATCTCTCAACACTGTAGTACCATTAGACTTGCAGTGCAGCGATGTCATAGCCTTGTGGCGTCATTGATGACGTCATAGCATTGTCAGGGCATTGTACAAAATCTACTGTCAAAACGATATCTCCTAGGAGATATCATATGATCTCACACAAGCGATATCTCCTGTGGAACACAGTATCGGATGATAAAGGATGTAGGGGCTCTCTTATTTTTCACAATTGGAACTTTGTAGCGGCGGCCTGAAGGGAGGAGGGGCCTACCTTTAGAATACAGCACCACAAACTTTAAAAATATGTCATAATACCCTTTTACGTAATGTTATGTGATTTTGTTCGAACGCACGTTCTCGAAACAATGCCCTATGACGCCTGCATGGCAACACGGTTGTCTGGCTCAGCGAGTGCGTATAAGCTCCGCTCAGTGGTGTTTCATCTCTACGAGCTATGTCATTGCATAAGTCCAACGATGTTGAGAGTTTCCAGTAGTTGTATACCGGCGGATGCGTAATATTTTGCAAGCACCAGTTTGAAATATTTTTCCTTTTTCACTAATACGCTCATATTTATTTGTATTATGGGCTGCTGAGGTGTTATTTTGTGTATTTTGTATTTTGTAATTTTTTTAATTTACATATATATTTTTGTCATTCAGTAATTTGCACCATTACATAGAAAAGTGTTTTATTAGTATATTATTTTTCGAAGCGGTAATAATGCATTACACTAGACACGTCAGTCGTGTTTGTGCCGGTTCGGTCAATGCATTCTATTTATTAGGATTAATTCAAGGGATTGGGGTTAGGGCTAGGGCTAGGGTTAGGGTTAGGGTTTAGGGTTTAGGGTTTAGGGTTTAGGGTTAGGGTTGGGGTTGGGGACCTAATGCAATATAGTAGGTACATGTCCGGTGGTTCGGTCAATGCATTCTATTTATTAGGATTATTTCAAGGGGTTAGGGTTAGGGTTAGGGTTAGGGTTGGGGACCTAATCCAATATAGCAGGTACATGTCTGGTGTAATACGTGAGTACCATTTGTTGTTTTTCCTTTTTGCATTTTAATACTTTTTTTTCACACAAAAACGGGAAACCCAAAACGTCGAAAGTACATTATGAAATGGCTTAATGTAGAAATTTTGGGCTAATGGAAATTGGTCTGGAATTTGCACTCAAGCCTCTTTCACACGCAACATAAATTTTGTAAAGTAATGATTCAAGGCTAACTCACCCGAAAGTGCCGTCACTACACATGCTCATGGCTCCCTCGTTCTTTAGTGCGATCCACATTATCCTTACAGTGTTCCCTACATCACTTTTCTGTCACAAAATCACTGATTTATATAAAAGCCGCCATTCATGATGCACCGTGAAATCTACATATGACGCCAACAACCCTTTTCAGTTTGAGGCATATCGCTCATTCCACGCCACACGCGTTAATTTGTAGATTACGGAATGGGACGAGTGTGCCAAATGGCATCGGATCCATTCGGCAATTGTCCGGAGAATAAAATCACGAGACACCAAGTCTACCCGTAGCATTTGTAATTGTCCGTGACCTATTCGACTCTTTCCGTTCATTTCCGTGACGCCACAGGAATGACTTGATAAATTTGCACATTTCGCAACAGTGTGGACGTAGCTCAGTCGGTTAGCTGTCGAGCTAACAATCCGAAGGTCGCGGGTTCGCGTCCGACGGGTTCTCACAAACTGGTTGCTTGTCTTAATGACACGTGACCTACGGCAGAGATCGTCCTCACGAGAAGTTGTGGTGCTGTATTCTTAAGGTGCTCCGGAGGAGGTTGTATTCCGAATTTAAGTAGTGAGTACGGTCAGATATGATTTTGACAGCTTGATTCACGATTTGCTGCTCATATATTGATGATAAACATTCAAATCTGACTTCAGCGATTTTACTTGCAGTGTTAACAATTTTTGTCTATTTTGGATTTGAGATGAACTGAGAGAGACCTGTACCAACAATGGAAGGAAAATGTTAAAATACTCTGAATAAATGCTACATAAAAAGATGACATCACAGATGGGTTAACATTAAAAGATCTCAGTTTACGCATGAGATGAAGACGTTGTTGACACTTCTTGTATAGGGCTTCAGTGTTAGAGTTCCAGTTCAGCTTAGAGTCAGTGAAGGTTCCCAGATACTTATACTCCGACACTGTCTCAACACATTCACCGTTGATTATCCCCCGTAACGCGTTTTGCGGGGGGTATTAAAATGGACTCCCCGTCCGTCCAAATCCGTCCGTCCGTGCACATTTGTGTCTTTTCCGAGCAGAACTCTAAAACCGTTCAATATTTCTTCTTCACCAAACTTGGCACATACATGGATCTGGTGGTGTACTGGTGCCTTTTGGTAGTTTTGGAATTCTGAATTAAATGTTTTTGGCGTTTCCATGGCAACAAGTTCGACTTAGACTGAAATTAGTGGTAGTGCTCTTTTCCGGAGCAGAACTCTAAAACCTTTCAATATTTCTTCACCAAACTTGGCACATGGATAGATCTGGTGGTGTACTGGTGCCTTTTGGTATTTTGGGAATTCTGAATAAAATATTTTTGACGTTTCCATGGCAACAAGTTTGACAGCCTGAAATTGTAGTAGTGCTCTTTTCCGGAGCAGAACTCTAAAACCGTTCAATGTTTCTTCACCAAACTTGGCACATAGATTGGTCTGGTGGTGTACTGGTGCCTTTTGGTAGTTTTGGAATTCTGAATAAAATATTTTTGGCATTTCCATGGCAACAAGTTTGACTGAAATTGGTGATAGTGCTGCTTTCTGGAGCAGAACTTTAAAAACCTTTCAATACTCTCCTTCCACTTTTCTATATACACACCTAAATATTTCTATATACACACCTAAATATTTGACATAATCATAACTCGTAGACATAATCATGAAGAGTATTTTGCCATTGAGGGGGATATTGATGACTTTGTCTTCTTGTTATCACTGGAAGCATTTCTGCCCATGTAAATCAGATGCAAGGCAAGGAATATTTATGCAGGTATATTTATGCAAGTATATTTTTGCAGGTGACGCATTACTATTGACGTCAAATGTGAAACACAAGATACTGTAAATAATATATGATTGATATTAATATTTCATTCAAATAGTGAGTTTTGGTTGATCCAAAAGGGATTACAAAAACAGTTTCAATATAGGTGGATTTAATTTAGGAAATGTGGAATCCCAAAGTACCTTTGTGTCACCTTGTCAAAAATCTCATGTTTACTATTACGAGGCAACAGAACAAGCCACTTAAAGGTGAACGTGGGTTCCAGCGAAATATGCATAATGGCTGAAGCCGAGATTTATAGAAACTGTTTTCGCGATTAAAACATAAGTATACATAATTTTTATTTGAAAATTTGGGAATATATTTCTGATGACTTTATCTTTCACCCAGAAAATTATTGCAATTCACTCGTATTCTCCTTTAAGCAATCTGTTATAGTCAATGCTATGGGTAGGAATTACATTTATCAGTTAGGACAGCATTTATATTTTTTGCTTTTCACATCGCCCGACCGACCCTTCTAATTTTATTGCCGACCCACCGACTGGAACCTAAAACATACCGCCTCATCTTATAAAATGTTTATCTATCTTAAATGTTTTAATCAGGCGCTGCCACAAGTCCAAAGGACATGAAAAATTCTAATAAAAATTACAATAAATGAGAATCAAGAACATTATTCAGATGAGTTTGTCTATATTAACGTTTTTTTCACCGTCACTAAATACCTTACATCTTTAAGAAAGAGTACTCTGAATTCT